TCCTTGCGTTTTTTTCCAATTAAAAAGTTATTCTCCTCTCATTATTTTCTTTTCCTTTTCAATTTCTTTTCAAATTTGATTTTGCAAAACAGGAGATAAACATAAAAGTTGAATATTTAACTTGTCAACAAAACAAAGAGAAATAACTATGTATTGCTTGATCCCTTTTAAAAGAGGGTACATAGGCAACCTAGAGTTACTAGGTGCAGCCACAAGATTAAGTGCTGAAAGTTTGTTCAGTTGGGTTATAACGGAAGTTGATAAAGGATTCACATTATTCTAAGAGTTGAGTTCTTATTTAAAGTGTGGAATGTTTTATTTGATTTATGGAGGACTGAGGCCATTCAGGTGTCACATCCCGGGATCGGCTCCGCCGTAGCACGATATTGTCCGCTTTGGGCTCCCCTCTCTGCCTTCACGGTTTTGTTTCTGGGAGCTCACGAGCAACTTCCCAGTGGGTCACCTATCCTGGGATTGCTCTGGCACCAACTCGCTTAACTTCGGAGTTCCCATGACTCCGAAGCCAGTGAGCTCACAAAAGGCCTCGTACTAGATGGATGCGTGCATGTACATATAAGGCACATCAACCCCCTCTCTGTTGATCGATGTGGGATCTTACATCAGGTTATTTGTCTTATGCATGCTGAACGGTTGGGATTTGTTGTTCAATGTTAATTGTATATTTACAGGTGGAAAGTTATTGGAAAACGAGCATTTTACAGGGGAGACTCTGCCGAATTTCTGGCAGAAGTCTAACTTGAAAAAGAATTTTGAGATTTAGTTAAAAGGGCAATTTGGTCAAGTGTGCCTGGCACCCGCCAGGTGTTAGACACACAGGGTTCGGCTCATATTCCAAAGTGGAATTTGGGTCGAGTCCTGTCAACTTCTCATTTATCTCTCTCTATCTCTCACCATTTCCCCTCTACCTCATTACCTTCCTCAAGAACTTCATTGGAAAAATATCAAAGTTTTAGAAAACTGCTCTGAAATTTTCAAATGGGTTTCACAACTATTAACAAACTTGATTTACCAAACTTAAGATGGGTTTCAAATGCGCTTCAAAACTATTGACAAACTTGCCTCTTTGTTATTTCGAATTGATCTTATGATTATGACTCATAGATAAATGGTACTTGAAGCTAGCTATTAGACTCTCTTTTTTGGGGGGTAATTAAAGACTATTAAAGTGTGATTTCGTGTAAAAGAAACTTTGTGACTTTTTACCAACAAATGGTTAGCAATCACAACCGTCACCTACTCGACAATCACTCTTCCATATTTTTCCATTTGAAAATTATTGAGTTATTTATTGGGAATCTCTTTCCTCTTCTTTTTTTCAAATTTATTGAGTTATTTATTGGGGAATTTTGAAAATTTCAAAATCGGTGTAGAATAGAGATATTGGGTAAGCTTCGGTTTTGTCCAGGAAAAATGAAGGTTTGGTGAGAGGGAGAAAAAATTTGAGATATTTAATCATATACCCATTCTTAGCACTAATAATATAGATAAATCCTACACCATTTAATTTCTATAAACAAACCAACAAAAAATGACAGCTAGCCCTATTGAATTTAATTTTGATTATTAAATTACTTTGGTATCCTTTTGAGTGTTTTGGGTTTTTTTATGAGGATTTGGGGTTGGGTTTGTTTTAAGAAATCAATGGCAGTTTTGTGATTTAAAATAAGTTAAAAGCCTTTTTGTTATGTTGTAAATGAGCTTTTGGTGTATTTCTAAAGTTCATTTCATATATGGTTTTTTTTATAATCTGAGCTCCTATATTGGGTGTAATAGTGAATCTTCCAAAAAAATTCCAGCACCACTCTCTCTCCTCTAGCTCTGAGAAATCACTCTCCTCATTGGATCATTACATTATCACAAAGTTTTATCCTTTTTCCATCTTCAGTTTGAATTTATTAGGAACAAAAAAAAAGAAAGAAATCAATATATGACGTATGAGTGATGAAGATTTGATTGAGAGAGAAAGAGGAATGGAGGAGTGAGAATAACGTCGGAAATAGAAGACGAAGAACAAAGTTGCATATTTTGTACGGAATGAAAATATTTAATTTGGAAGTCAAATTGAATGCCAATTGTCAATATTTTATTGGGTGAGATATTGAAGTGGAAAGTCTAAAAATAATAATTGTTGTTATGTTTCCAAAAAGTAATAAAAGAGTATTAATTCTTTAAAAGAACACACACTTACGACAGATGCATTTTAAGCCATTAGATGGTGAATGATCGAAAGGTTAAAAATGTGTGTATAAATTTGTGGCTTTTTGTGTCCCCGATCACAAAATCATAATCTAATAGTCTTTACTACAAAAATAAAAAATCCAAGTCTAATAGCTAGGTTCAAGTGCCATTATCTATGAACCATAATCATAAGATCAATTCAAAACAACAAAGAGGCAAGTTTGTCAATAGTTCTAAAGCCCATTTGAAACCCATCTTAAGTTTGGTAAATCAAGTTTGTCGATAGTTGTGAAACTCATTTGAAAATTTCAGAAGAGTTTTCTAAAACTTTGATATTTTTCTAATGAAGTTCTTGAGGAAGGGAATGAGGTATGAGGGGAAATGGTGTGTGTGTGTGTGTGAGAGAGAGAGAGAGAAATAAAGGAGAAGAAGACGGGGATAGTGATCGAACGAAGAAGAGAGCTAAGAGGCGAGATAAATGAATAGGTAGTAGAGAGAACCTCGCATACCATGTGGAGTTATGTTTCCTAAAAGCAATAAATGAATACTTTAATTTCATTATAAAAAAATCAAATCAGATGCATTTCTAACCCTTAAATGACTCATTATTTATTGGTTGAGAAAGTGTGTCAAAATGTGTGATTTTATGTGTGTCCTCCGATCCTAACCTATATATATGAGTCAGAATCAAAGAACACACATAAAACCACACATTTTGACACATACATTTTTTACATTACATATATATTAACAAGCTCCTCACTCCCCGCCGCAAACCCAGAGAGCGAAAATCATCATCCACTGCAAAATGTCAAACCCAAACGCGTTTTTTATTCGCCACCGTATGAAGTTCGCCGACGATTGTTTCATAAAGATTCAAGAAGCACAGTGGCCCATGGATCTTCTCCCTCGCTAATGGTGGGCCAGAGACCAATGGTTTCCAGTTCTTTATTTGTGCACAAGCTTAATCTTCAAACAGCTTCTTCTGAGAATTATACCATCGTCCTTGTAATAATAATTCCATTTCTTAGAAATCTACAGTAGAGTTCATTGAAATCTACTGAAAAGTAGTTTTTTTTTTTTACCAACTAACAGTTAGTAACTATTTTTTTTTTATCTTTTATCTAAAAAGACATACCAAATTTCACATTTTCATTTTTTCAGAAGAAAAAATATGAATTGTTTTAAGAATTTCTTATTCAAATATAACAAACACTAAGTGCTTAACACTCCAAAAAATTATTTTTTAAATGTTTTACATAGAAAGATGAGTGGATACCAATCACAATTGCCTTTGATTATTATTTTCACTTGTTTTTCTTAAATTTTAATTTTTTTATTATTATTATATATTTTTGGGTGGCAATGTGGAAATCCAAACAAGATTTAAGTGGCATTGGAATAATTCAGCCTAGATTATTTCATATTTCCCAACAAAATTATAGATTACTTAAATTTACCAAAATGATAAAATAATGTGATCAAATATAAACGGAGCAAATTGGAACTGTTAGACATGGCAAAGTATATGGCGCTAAACGTGAGTCAATCATCAAAGTCAACGCGGAACAACCCGCGAAACTTCAAAATCTGGGAATATCCCTGCTAAAAGGCACTCAGAATAAAGCGAATGGAACGATGCCACGTGGTTATCTGACCATTTCAATTCAAACTACCAAACAGTGCGACCTCACAGTCATTGAATTTTCAATTAAGTAATAATTGGTGCTTCCACATTTGTTTGAATATACTTGCATTACATGCATAAAGATTTACATACAGTAAGCATAAGCTCATACATGTTCTTCCACATAACTTTCTCAGACACCAGCGTGTGTGAGAAAATCTCACCTCCTTTAAGATCGCTTATATTAGAAAAAAAGTAAATTAAAACTCTTACAAATAGTAGAGGACAAAATTCAACACTAAACGTTGTAAATATAAAATCTTCAAGATGACAAATCTGCATACATTAAAAAAATAATAATAATAAAAAAAAGACAAAAGTCCGTCACCAAGCGGAATGTGACAAATGTCGATAGTTTAGTTAAGTTAAGCTAAACATCCTGGAAAATTAAACGCAAAGGAGGTAAGCAACGTGTCAATATTATTGTAGCCAAAAACAAGAAGCCGAAACATGTCTCTGTCTTTGATCAAACTTCAGAGTTCAAAACCAACTTATCGTCCACAGATGGGAGCATCGTAAAATATCATTTCTTCTTGCCTTTTTTTTTAATTCACTGTTGACTAATAAATATCCTTCTCAATAAAACCGTTGACAAAATCAAAGATTGTTTGGAAATAATTAAGTACGATGAATTGATAATTAAGTCAAGAGACGATGGTTCAACGAACGGTAGAAAAGAGTGTTGCTAAACGAACCCTAAAATTAACTGAGTACACCCTACGATCTAAGTACACCCTAATGTTTAAATTAAAATGTAAAATTAACTAAGTACACCCTATTTAACTACCAAAAATACCCATGGTACACCCTCTTTAATTTTTAATCTTTTAAAGTATTTAAAATAAACAAATAAAGTAAAATAATAATAAAATAATATTTTAACAAAACTCTCTCTCTCTCTCTCTCTCTCTCTCTCTTGCTGCTTCTTCTTCTTCTTCTTCTTTTATCTCTCTCCTGTGTGACAACCACCACTTGGTTTGTGTTATTGATTGTTTAAGTTTTATGCATACAAAAATCAACTGGGATTAATACACTTCTCCTGGATTCCGAGTTGTATGTTAAAAATTAAGTCAATTTGTTTGAAGGCATGGGTTCAAAAGCTCAAGCAGTAAAACTTCCCAGCCGTATAATCTTGCCAAGCTTCATCATCTGTTTTGTTTTTTTTTTTGTTCTTTTGAGAAAAATAAGAAGACAAATAAATTTTATTTGGCTCTGTGTTGCATCCTCTCTGCAAATAGGTATGTTATTGTTTTTTAATTGATAACGGTGTTTACTCTGTAATTGCGGTTTATATTTTCTATGATTTCTCTTAAAAGTCCCCGTTTGGTTGCTGAGAAATTGAAGAAATACTTTGTTGCTTTCTTCTGCAAATACTAAGCAATTGACAAGTAAGTCTTGTTGCTTATTATTTAGGTGCAATTGGAGCAATCTTCCAAGCTTTTAGAGTTTGGGGGCAAGCAATGGGCGGGGTTTGCTCAGGAGGAGCGTCCGCTAAGCGAAATATCGATATTAATAATGGAGAGAAGACTTCGAGGTTTTCCGGGAAACTCAAGTCAATTAAGAGCTTCGGCAAGCAGAAAGAGAACTCTAATTCTTCATATCCTGACGCAATTGCCCCTCGTATAACACCAAACAGGTTTGATTCTGGCGAGCTGCGATCCTCAATTTCCCGCGAATTGAAGCCCTCAACCCCGGCTAGGACTGGAGCTAGCAAGGTACCAAACAAGTTTTAATTTTGTTTGTTTTTGTTGCAATCAAGACAACGAATTTCTAGATTGTTGTCGTGAAATAAGTATTAATTGATGCATAGGTACTTATTTTTGCTTTAATTCTTGTGTTTTCTGTTGTAGGTCACCCCAAAGAACTCGTTCATAGGAAGAGCTGGCATTGCAGGCCTGGATAAGGCAGTTGAAGTTTTGGACACACTTGGCAGTAGCATGTCTAATTTGAATGTCAACAGTGGATTTCTTACTGGCGGCGCTTCTAGAGGCAATAGAATATCTATCTTATCGTTCGAAGTAGCCAATACAATCGCCAAAGGCGCAAACTTGTTGCAATCACTTTCAGAAGAAAACATCCAGTTCCTGAAGAAAGAGGTTCTTCATTCTGACGCTGTACAAAACTTAGTTTCCAAAGATATGAAGGAGTTGCTAAGCATTGCTGCTTCGGACAAAAGGTCGTTGCTTGCTGTAGAGAATAGCTTGAATTTAGTTGAAGCAATTTATTCCCTCTTATTTTCTCAACTTTTACTTTCCTGGCCATCTGCAGGGAAGAGCTTGATGTCTTTTCCAGGGAAGTAGTTAGGTTTGGAGACCTGTGTAAAGACCCACAGTGGCATAACCTGGGTAGATACTTCTTACGGTGAGGCAAATTTGGGAGCTTCTGCTATGATTATATTTATAACTTTTTTGCTAATTTTAATATGATCTGCCAAACCATATTTCAGATTAGATTCAGACGATGATTTAGGTTACACTCAGCTGAGATCAGAGGCAGAAATGACAATGCAGGAATTGACCACTCTTGCCCACCATACTTCTGTAAGTTGCATTGATATACTTCTGGGTTTTCCTTTAATTTTATGTGCTTTTGCAATTTTGGGGCATGCTGCATTAATGATTTATATCCTTGACATTCCTCTAATTAGTCTTTAAAGTACTTCTGCTTCATGATGTATCGACATTTCGCATTCTTCTCTCTACACTTGAATAACACTAGAATTTAAATATTGGATTACCTAATAAATCAAACTTGTAGAAGCTAACCTTTTAAACATTTGTAGGAATTATACCATGAGTTAAATGCTCTGGACAGATTTGAACAAGATCACCGGCGAAAGCTTGAAGAAGCAAAGGCTTTGCATCTCCCTCTTAGAGGTTAGGCATGAAAATCTCTTTTCTTTTTTTTTCTTTTTTTCCAGTTTAAGTGAGTGTCAGATTTTTGCTTGACACCTCTGAACAATAGCAATGCAGTAATTTATTAACTGGGAATTCTCTTTGTAATTGTAGGAGAGAGCCTCATGATGTTACTCAGTGATTTAAAACAACAAAGAAAGCTTGTAAGGAGCTTGAAAAAGAAATCTCTTTGGGCTAAAAACTTGGATGAGGTACTATCGTGAACCACTTGTTAAATTTCTGAAAAGGATAGCTCTGTGAAATTTGAAAACCTTTTTCAACAGAAGGCATAATTATTTGCTACTATTTGTTCGAGCCAGTGCATGCTTATTCAAAAAAATCGGCCACATTATTCAAAGTACTCAGCGGTTAAGCAATGTGTGCAATTGAAAGATATTGCTGCAATTATTCATTATTTGCCTTCAACAGGACATGATAAATTTCATTAGAATTCCTTTTTTACTTAATGCTGTCACATTATTTTTCTCTTTGCAGATCGTGGAGAAACTTGTTGATATTGTTACTTATACACATCAAGCAATCCTGGAAGCATTTGGAGATAATGGTATGAGCAACATCTCACAGTGAGATCAACAATTGATACTTGGATACATAGGCTTTAATGGATATACATGTGTTGCTCATAATAGATTTCTTCATCCTGCTTCAAGGAACTTTATGAACAACTCGAAATTGTTTATCACTCAGTCAATTACATCTTTACTCATCAGGGGTGACATTGATTAGCGTGGAGCGTAGCAAAGATCCTCAAAGACTAGGAGTAGCTGGTCTTGCGTTACACTATGCTAACATGATCAACCAAATAGATAACATTGTAAGCTCACTTCTTTATGTCCTTATATTGTGCGTCTTATAGAGTTGGTATAAATTTGCAAAATAGAATGTAATCTTAATCTTTAATAGGCGTCCCGACCTACCTCCCTTCCTCCAAATACAAGGGACACATTATATCAAGGGTTGCCAAATAGTGTTAAGCAAGCTTTACGATCCCGATTGCACACTCTTGATGCCAAGGAAGAGGTATTACAAAATGCATGATACATAGACATTTGTCCATTATTATTTATTGTAATTTTCCTCATTCCTTTCCCTATTGTGTTTTCTGCAGCTCTTGGTTTCTCAGGTCAAAGCTGAAATGGAAAAGACTCTCCAGTGGCTTGTTCCAGTTGCCACAAATACGAACAAGTATGTTGTGTAGCATGTTAATTGGAAGCTGCTGTCATTGCTTCGCCTGTGTTTGTTTTCATTCTTTTGAATGAAATTTTCCAACTAATTTTATGACTTAATTGTCGTTTACTGTCTTGCGTTCACTCATGTCTGTTTTTTCTGATGTTGCAATTTGTGGCAGAGCACATCAAGGTTTTGGGTGGGTTGGAGAATGGGCAAACTCTGGGTCAGTCAAGGCCTCTCTCTCAATATCTTCTGGGACAATTGATATTGAAAGTATAAGATGCATCTTATCAGTAAAATGCATATGATGATTCTGATTTTAATTTTCTCTTTTGACAGACTTGAGTTTGGTAAGAATTCATCCTCTGAGATTAACTTGATCCGACTCCAGACACTATATCATGCAGACAAGCAAAAGACGGATGTCTGCATCCTTGAACTAGTGACATGGCTTCACCATCTGATCAACCTTGTAAGGCATGGAGATCATGGTGGTTTGAAGGCTTTGCCTATACGGTCCCCGACTCATAGAGGATTGGATATTCACTCCAAGATGCAGGGATTTGTATCCAAGACCAACAGCACTAAGTCCCCAAGAATTCATCTTTCAGAAGAAGATCGAAACTTGTTAGATGAGGTCCTTGGAAGGGTGAAAAGGGTTCCCGGAGTCAGTAAAAGTCAGGAATTTAGTGTTGCCAAGAAAAAAGGAACTGGAGTTTGGGCTTTGAGCAAGAGCACTGGGAGTTCCCCATCAAGGGAGTTGAGTGCTAGAGGAAACTCGGATCAGACTAATGCCTTGGATGTTATGGATGGGATAGATTCAAGATATTGAGAGACTTCAGTTTCAAATTTCCAATCACGCATTTGTTTTTCTTCTCAAAAATCCAATATTTAGTTAATCATATCCGTTCACCTCTGTATATATATATACATATTCAGGCGAGCTATTAGTTTTATTGTATATGTACACCTGTTATGGTGGTTCCTAATTTTTTGTTATCAACATCAACATGGTAGCACCTATTTATTTATACATAGATGGGAATTCTTTTATACTGATGTTGCAATTGGCTAGCTCAGCTTCAGGGTCTATTTAAATGTAACGCCTGGCAAATTTTGTTGACAGAACAGATATTCTAATTTCAGCCACCCATTAGATAGGGATATATTTATGTCATGAAGGAAATTAAAGTTTCACTCAAAACCAATTGGTAATGAGAGTAGCCCAACTCTTAGCCCTTGCAAGGTTTTCCAACTTTTCAATATGGGACATTTTCACCTTCACTTTCTCACACGCTCCCATACGTGTGTTGAATTTTCAAGTCTAACATATGGATAACATATTGAATGATGTGGAACCTCGACTTTCTTCGTAGTCTCAACTTTCTTTAGTGTCAGAATCATAGTCTTAACTTTCTTTAGTATCAAAGTGAGTTGCCCATGTGTGATTCGACCTGATAATATTATATACGACACTTTTACTGTTTTGTGCCCTAAGAAGTAGATAGCTCAGAGTTCGGACAACTACGTAAGCTACTCCGACATCGGTGAATTCCTTGTAGTTCTACCTAGTAGGAAACTTCATTTTCCATTTTCGTTGTTTATTTGGAAACTAACTTTTGTAAATTTAACTCCAGTAGTTGCTCTGATATTTCCCACTTAAGACTAAATTTGAGGCCGGAGATTATGTGAAATTTGTGTGTGCCCTATATTGTGTGTGCTGCCAATTGAGATTCTTAAATTGGCATTATTTGCAGGTCGTTAACACAACACGAATTCGAAAAAAAAATTCAATATTCAGGTCTGGGTTATTGTGTTGGCTCGTTAGCCACCCGATATCTTGTCAATTCGCGAATACTCGTTAACCCGTTAAGCTCAGTGACATTTTTGTAAATTTATGTATCTTTTTAAAACTGAGCAACCTTTGAGCTCTCTTCTTCTCTCAACTTGAGAGTCTCAAGCAACCACCACACCACCCAACCACTGTGAGCCATCCCAGCCACCTCCCCCTTCTGTCTCCTTCCCTCACCGATCGATCCCACCTATTCCCTCACCTTCTCCGATGAGTCTTCCTCCTCCACTGAATTTGGGTTCCATGAGGGAAGCTCATCGAGCTCGACTATGGCGGGGAGGGGTCTCCAATACTGTTTGATTTTATTTTATTTTTGCTCGGTTGATTTTTTAATTGTTAAAAATTTATGTTTTTTTTTTGTTTGTTTGTTTTTTTAATTTTAAATTCTTAACGGATTATCGTGTCGTGTCGTGTGATTCGCGAATAATAATGGGTCGTGTTCGTGTTTTTGGCATTTTCAACCCGTTTTCTTATCGTGTCATGTCAACATGTTAAGAAAAGCGAGTTAACACGAAAAACAACACAAACACTGAAAAAACGACATGAATGCCGGGTAAGCCATTAGATAGATAGACTAATAAGAAAATCTATTCAATGCTTTTTGGAGATAGAAGCATTTGAACTGACGATTAAAAAAATTATTTTGATGTTACCCCAAAAAAAATTCCTTCGTTCCAGCTATTTGTTTTCTGGTTAAGCAATTAAAAACTAAAAGTTATTTTTCGAAACAAAAATGAAAAAAATATTTAAACTGAATTAGTGTTTGGTTTTTATTGAGAATAGGGATCAGATGGTACAAAGATTAGGGTGTCCCAATTGTCGTAACCAGGCTTTGGGGCGGACACCCATTTCTCGCATAATTATTGCGAATACTGACCACTCATCACATCCCGTTTCTGCCTGAAGGATCATGCTTTCTCTCGTTTTCCTTTCGTCTTTTTATACAACCTATTTCGACCCCTCTTCTATCTCCACGTCGATGTGGGACTGCTCTCTTTCTCTCTCACCCCGTGTGATCCACCTATACTCTCTCTACTTTCTCAAACTCATGCGTATCTTGTTCCACTCTATTTTATTTAACTGGTGGTGAGATCCATAGTCCACAGATCATTTAATTAAGATGGTGAAAAAAATCCATAGTTCTACAAGATTTTAGTTCGTCGAGGAATGAGATTTTGCATCAATTAATCAGGACATGTACAACAATACAAAGCTAATTTAAGCTCTTCCATTCTAGCAGGTTTAAACTATGATTTACCTATTGAGATTAGTGTAAAAGGGAAACGAACTGGGAGGGAGCTTCATATTGTGGCTCTCTCTCTCTCTCCCTCCAACTCTTTTATTTGCTCGTATATCGTATGCATAATTACTAATAACAACAATAATAATACCATAGCTCTTCTTCCATTAATTCTCTGTAGCCTTCTGTGGTACCTCCTCACAGTCCACATTCCTCGAGTGTTCAACCACCACCACCACAACACTAAACCATCAGTTCAAATGTAATATTTAATTTTTTAATATAGAAGATAGTCTATATTACAAGAGGAGAGGAGTTTCTCACATATACTCTACCAAGATACCATGGAGGTTCAATCTTGATGAGACCACTAGTTTGCAAATCATTGTCATTTTCTAATGGACTAGACTGCATTGAGGAACATATTTTTAAATTGTTACACACATACATAAAATTCAATTCACCAATAGGGTGTTAGTTGAATTGGCTCAGGCTTTTGGTGTGGTCCTAAGTGGTCATGAGTTCAAATTACCATGGTACACATGTGTGTGAATAATTTCAGGTTTGAGGTTCCATTTGTTTGTGTGTTTTTTTGCTAAGAACAAATAAAATTGTGGGGTTTAAATAGAAAATCTCTTTTATTTCTTATTTTTTAAGTTTGGGGTGTATTTAAGGGTAGTTTGGGAAGATAGTGGGGTTTTATTAGAAATTGTGAAAATTTAAATTAAAAGATGGGGTGAGCTTAGAACATGGGGTGTGAACTAAGAGAAGTGTAAGGTTTAAATAGAAAATCTCAACAACAAAAATTGAATTAAAAAATAAATAAACAAACATTGACGTGTTGGAGGTAGTGGTGGTGGACCATGCGTACGGGCCTTGTACTCGTAAGTTTAGTTTGGGCCTATAGAGTTTTGGGTTGGCAATTGTTCATCCTAGTAGGCCTAAAATGTTTCTTAACTTAGGCCCGTGAGTGATCTACGTGGTGGGGTCCGTTAGTAACACACTTACCAGCTTTCTGACACGTCGCACCGCCCAAATTTAATTGCGGCACATCTTCCGCTGCCTAGCTATTGAACATAAAAAATTATGGAATAAGACACACACAGCTCCACGACCACCACCACGGCCACAGACTCAAACTGAAAGTATTCAGAGGGAGACAGAGAGGGAGGGAAGGGGGCATTGCAGAGACTGAAAGTTGTATTATCGAGATAAATGTTGGGGTTCCTCACGTGCGGGGCTTCGGCTTTGGGGATCAGAATCAGATCACAAATGTTATCATAATTCAGTGCAGTCTTACTCGTCTTTTTAATGAATGCATCGATCCATCAAACATATGTTGCTGCTAGCTTCAGTCTGAGTCAGAGTCCCACCGCCCATTGTCTCCCTAACTCAACACCTCTCCATCCATGCACATGCTTTGCTCTTTTCAAATGAATGCTAGGTTGGATGATGGTTTTATTCTTTCCACTTTATGTCAACCCATTGTTTTTCCTTATATAATCATTATATGAGTCAGCTAAAAACGTTTAAATATTATTATTTTATTTCTCAAATGCCCTTCCTCTATTATAAAAGCCTGGCCAATAATTAAGCCAACATTTCAATGTTAAAGCATCAATTATGAATCGATCACTTTATCGACACAGAGAGCTCTCTGAGAGCTCTCTTCCTCCTCATTCATTTTGAGAGTCCCTAGCCTCTCCCCACCCGAAATGAGTGTTTTTTCCCTGAGCTTTATCTCAGATCTGGGGCTTCTTGCCTCCACTTCGGTTTCCTTTAGTTTTTTTTCTGTTTTTCCCTAAGTTAAGCCCACTCTGTGCGACCCTAAATCTCCCATCTCGTAGCGTAACCAATAATTATAAAAGCCTGGCCAATAATTAAGCCAACATTTCAATGTTAAAGCATCAATTATGAAATGAATTATTAGTAAGTAATCATAGTGCATGCATTTGCCTTGATTTCTACTAACCCTTTTAGTACAATATTGAAACCCAATTCAATTCCATAATGACACTTCCCCCACTATGTATCCTCTCAAAAGTCCCTATGATACTAATAGTAGGAATTGTTAATATACTTTGCTAATATACCTTGCTAATAGTAGGAATTGTGATTTTAGCTATATACCTACTATTAGCACATCTACATGGTTAATGTACCTAACATAACTATGATACTAATGTATCTAATTGTTTTTTTTTCTTCTTATGGGTTTCATATTCTTATTTGTTTTGATATAAATTTTTTTTTCTTCAATTTTTTAAAAACAAGCAACGATCTAAACTACAAGAGAATGAAAATTTTATCACACACATTATTAAGGTACCATGGAAGTTCGAACTTGAGACAAAGGGTCCGAACTATACTCCATGTATATTTTGTTTCCAACTACATACTATGATTTTAGGTATATCATCCTTACTTATTCTACTAATTAGGTATACTAAATCGATGTAGGTATATTATTCTTTTCCGATTAGGTAGTATGGCTAAAGTAATATATTATGCTTAAATTATATATCATCACTTAATATTTAAGTTTCTTTTAATGTACTAGCATTACGGGTGGGCATTTGAACTAGTGAAACGAGTAAAAAGGAAACCGGAAAAAACCGTGTTGACTAAAAAATCAACTTAGGCTCAAAAACCAAAAAGAATCGCTTTGGATAAATTCCTGTCTCGATTCTCTTCTTATGGGTTTCATATTCTTATTTGTTTTGATATAAATTTTTTTTCTTCAATTTTTTAAAAACAAGCAACGATCTAAACTACAAGAGAATGAAAATTTTATCACACACATTATTAAGGTACCATGGAAGTTCGAACTTGAGACAAAGGGTCCGAACTATACTCCATGTATATTTTGTTTCCAACTACATACTA